CTCTCTCTCTCTCTCTCTCTCTCTCTCTCTCTCTCTCACTCGCTCGCTCGCTCACTCACTCGCGCTCTCATATACACACTCCATCTCTCACTCTCTCTTGTTTCTGTTTTCTATCCTTCGGTTGCACAATTCTGTCCCTTCCTTTCGCACCATCTATCGATTCTTCCAGAATTGAGAAAATGATATGAAATGAGTGTACTGTTTTTTCAAGTGCTGAATGTTTTGAATGGCCACCAAACTAGATTATATGTGAAAGTTAAGATGAATTACATGGCATCAGGACGGCATGTGATATAGTAGTATGTCGTAAAAGTTAAAAGTTTAATAGGTTATCACACAAAATTAACAGCAAAGCGTAAGCTTCTTTCCCACACACATTTTCTATCTGTATCACTAATTATTTAACAGCTCATGTATAATTAACGTTTCAATCTCAGAAGTGTAGGTCACGTGTAAAGGTTTGCAGATATCTATAGCTATAGTTTCTACAGTTAAAAGTACTGAAAACTACAAACTACAGCAGTTAACACCAGTGTACATACTTTTTAAAGGGGGTTCTGGTGATGCGGCTGTATCATGGATAGAGTGCTGAGTAGGCTGTGGTGATAGATTTTTAGACCAACTTAATAGGGCTATAGGTTGCCTTGTGTGATATAACATATAGAAATTTTAAGTTGATGCGATATTATTGTGTTATCAGTTGCTGGGCAGGTTAGATTCGGTTAGAGTATAAATAGTGTCCAAGTTTGTATAGTAAAATGTCATGTATTAAATTAGGGGAATGTTGCAGGGCATGTGAGGCGTGAATAATTGCTGGGCAGAAGTGCTTAAATAGAGTGGGAAGCCCCTGTTGCAATATATTGCTTCATATTCTAACATTTTATGTAGTTTCTTGTGCATACACGTGCACGCACGCACGCACACATATTATACAATTGTTGTCAGATTGTGAGGGTAACTTAGTTTTGTGGACCAAGAATCTTGCTTAGGACCGGAGGTTAAAGGTAACCTAGCCTTATTTTCGAGGTTTACACAACTTGATGTTGTTCGAGCAACAAAGCAATAATTTTGTTGTCACATGTAAAATCAGGAGTAAATAATTCTAGGATAAGGGTGCATGATACTGTAACGTTTAATTGGAAGTCCGATGTATAAATGATGATATATAGAAATCCAAACTTGTGTGGTAACCTGAATAAACTTTAATATCTTACACACAGTGTGTCCATCTTGCACAAAGGAACAAAGAAACGCGCACACGCGCGTAAGCGCGTGTGCTCACTCCCGCGACCACAACCAGACTCTCCCACATTTTAGCCATAACCCTGCATTCTGGTACAACACATTCACACTGATGTGTCAAACTGCTAGATACAAAAGATGCGTCGCGTCAAGTTCACTGCTAGAATAATAGTCTCTGACTATGTGAACAAACAGCTGTTACAATACATCAAAATAGAACAAGGAAAATTGTGTTTATTAGCCATAGTCTACCTATGGTTTATTTTGCATAACTTAATAAAGATTAGATCGGAAGTTACTTTAAAGTTCTGTTAGCCTTGTCCCTTATTGTTTTCCACATATTAAACATAGTTACAATCCAGGGAGACGAAGCTATTGTATTGAAACTGAAATCTATGACATTCGGACATCTATGACCCTTGCCAAATAGTGAACAAATTGCAGTGACATTTGTTGGGAGGGGGGGGACATTTATGAGATTCTGCAGGGAATCTCATGGTAAAAATACTGGTTCTTTTTTATATCACATTTTGTGTTTTTATTATTGGTACGTTTTACCATGCCTGTTACCTGGCAGAGTTGGATTGGTAAGATGATTACTGTCGTTTGTTTGAGTTGCCTCCAACTAATAAACATTTTTCACACGTTGCAGATGCACCACCCTATACAGATGAAGCCAGCAGACCACAACGAAAGCAAGACCGGTAAGCAAGATTCTCTTTCATACAGGCATAAAATTTTAATTTGTTTAGGGCAAGGCAGGTGTTGCCTTGGGAGTAATCAGATATTCCATGGCACCACGTACAGCACGTTGGAAGGGCCCCATGGCAAAATTTACAAAGAAATGTTATGATATCATAGCAAGATTTGTGTTGATAGCGCTTAGGAAAAAGAGAAATAGATGCACAACATTTTATGGGAAAGGCATGAAAGTAAAGCAAGTAGTGCAGTCACGGTCATTTATTGCCGTGGTTATTGGCCAGTTTCAACAGCACTACAGCAAATGAGGAGGGCAACCACTGCACTTGACGTCAGTCCTATCGTAAAATTTGAGCTGTGTTCATTTAAAATTTTATATGTCATTCCCTATCCTGCCTTCAATCTCGTCTTTACTTCACTTGTTGCTTGTTCTGTCCCCTGCTTCCCTTTGTCCTTGCTCTCTGCTTTGCACTTTCCTGTTTTTCTTCTTCCCAGCGTAGTGCTAGTGCTGATATGACCGTTTAAAGTTATTACCTGCTGGATGTTTGTAGTGAGATAGTTTCTGCATGTTTTAAAACATTTTACTCCATAAATAATTATTAATAATAAATATTATGGCTTATTACTAGGTAGTAATTGTTTGATGATAGCAACAGTTTAGCATGTTGTGTTATGTGGGCATTTGTCTATTGGCTTTTGTCATGTAACCGGCGCTGACAGTTACTACTGCTATCAGACTATGGCTTCACTGTATCTCTAGGCCAGGTAACTTCACTAAATATTCAGTGAAGCCCAGCTTCAATGCATCTTTAGTGAGTGATAGATTCATTCCATCTTTATGACAGGATAGCTTTGATGCTTCCTTAGTGTCTAAGAGCTTTGTTGCTTCATAAATGTAAAATATAGCCTTGCCACTTCTTTAGTACAGGATAGCTTAATTTGCTGTTATCTTTAGTACAGAATAGCTTTGCTGTTATCTTTAGTGTGTGATAGCTTTGCTGCTATCTTTAGTGCGTGATAGCTTTGCTGCTATCTTTAGTGCGTGATAGCTTTGCTGCTATCTTTAGTGCGTGATATCTTTGCTGTTATGTTTAGTGCGTGATAGCTTTTCTGCTAGCTGTAGTGCGTGATATCTTTTCTGCTATCTTTAGTACAGGATAGCTTTACTGTTATGTTTAGTGCGTGATAGCTTTGCTGCTATCTTTAGTGCGTGATAGCTTTGCTGCTATCTGTAGTGTGTGATATCTTTTCTGCTATCTTTAGTACAGGATAGCTTAGCTGTTATCTTTAGTGCAGGATAGCTTAGCTGCTATCTTTAGTGCGTGATAGTTTTGCTGTTATCTTTAGTACAGGATAGCTTTACTGTTATGTTTAGTGCGTGATAGCTTTTCTGCTATCTGTAGTGCGTGATATCTTTTCTGCTATCTTTAGTACAGGATAGCTTTACTGTTATGTTTAGTGAGTGATAGCTTTGCTGCTATCTTTAGTGCGTGATAGCTTTGCTGCTATCTGTAGTGCGTGATATCTTTTCTGCTATCTTTAGTACAGGATAGCTTAGCTGTTATCTTTAGTGCAGGATAGCTTAGCTGCTATCTTTAGTGAGTGATAGTTTTGTTGTTATCTTTAGTACAGGATAGCTTTTCTGTTATCTTTAGAACAGGTCCTGATGATAGCTTTACTGCATCTTTAGTGCATAGCAGTTAATGCATAGTGTTTAGCAGAGGTGTTTGTGTAGGTGTAAAGAAGCACAGTATCTGACATAGTTTACCTGCACGCAGCGTTCGATGCGCCACCTGTTACACAGCTTATCGTGATGACATTTCTGCCGATCGAAGGAAAATATTAATATGTTTCGTTTCGGGAAAGTAGAGAAAACAGGGTGGCAGCTGTAGGGCGTGGCAATCATTGTGGGTGGCAGCTGTAATAGGCTAAGGGCTAAACACCTGGAGCATAGGAAAGGTGTGCTTAGATCATACGATCTACGGACATCTTAAACGACTGTTGAGCTAGATCTCATGGAAGGTGGGGGAATACGGTGCTTCTATACGAGTGACAGCCTGTGGCAGAGAGAAGGGCTATAGTTCTAGAGCTATATACTCGCCTCTACCCCAAGGTATTTCCTGATATGACCCTATCCTATTGGAATCGTGAAGCAATCCCTTTGATCAATTATCCTGATCATTTTCCACTGGAGCCCCAATAGGGCGAGTCGGTGCACATGCCTGATCGGATTCGGCGAGTCAGTCGGTTGTCATGTGCAGTGCATGTTCGATGTGTAAAACGATTTTCAGCAGCGTTTTCGGAAAGCTGTGGACATATAGCGAGTGTCAGAGCTGCGGGCTTCCGACTGGCTGCCTTGCCGTAATTGTAAAATTGCGCAGCTTTCGAGTGTATGCGACATGTGGATGTGCGTAGAAAAGCGTCGCTAGCGATTACGTAATTTGTCGATGCCAGGCTCTCTCGGGCATTCCTTGCTTTTCTCATTCTCTTCAACTTAGTTTGCTGCCCTTCTCTGCAGACAACCTAAGCACTAGGTAATATATTGAAAATGGGCGGAAGATCGGAAATTAATTAGTAGGCAAGTGTTTGTGGTGGGGAGCGCATATTGTTAGTGTCTGCTCGGTTGAAATGGGGGAAACAAAATATCGAGAGGAAAGATTTGAGTCTTTAGCTAACCCCTTGAGAAATACAGCGAGTGAAAATGCAGCGAACAAGGAAAGAGACGTCATAAAGACGAAGATATATGATACCAGCTAGCAATGATGATTCTAGTAAAAGTCAAATGGTTGGGACATGAAAGCTTTTAAACTCAGTACTTATGAGAAAGGGCGAGGGGATGATCGAGGGACAGCAAAATCAATGACAGACGAAGAGAGGGAGACGGGAGAGAGGGACGGGCAAGCAAGAGAAGCAAGAGAGAGAAGACGACTACAGTACAAATAGGTCCACACAATGATTAAGTAAAAAATAATTTTGGCAACGTGAAATGAGAGTAGCCAAACCTACTCGCAGCAGTTATGCTGATAGGTTCGAGTACCGTGTACAATACAGAAAGCGTCCACTGCCCACGTGGTGGTAGAGACTAAAGCTAGCAGCACACTTCACCATTTTCGTTGCTCGTACAGGCAATTTTCGTGGTCGGCAATTTTTGTGGCCGTTGCCGCGTCACAGCACACTTCACCACAAGTTGCCACCACGAGCAATTTTCGTGGTGAGAAATCAAACCGGTTTGATTCTCGGCAACTCGTGGTCACCACTAAATTTCCGTGGTGAGTGGTCGTTGCCGGCACACTTGGTCATTTTTGTGGCGACCACGAAAATTGCCTGTACGAGCAACGAAAATGGTGAAGTGTGCTGCCCGCTTTACTCTCGGCAGACTCGGCAGCAGCAGTATATGAATGTCGTGGCGGAGAGATAGTGGAGCTGACATTTGTCTTCCGTTAGCCGCCGCGGGCTCATTGCTCTGTGAGTCTGTTGTTGCGACTATAAAGCCGGGCGCAGTGACGGTGAGATTCGTGCTGAGCACGGAGCGTGAGTTTCGTGCTCAGCAGGAATCTCACACCCGCGCACACTGTGAGTTTCATGCTGAGCACGGATCTTACCAGCGGTTGCCACTGTAGGTCATGTGAATGATCAAAATGGCAGAACCAATCAAAATGTCCCGCCACTGAGTGAGAACCAATCAAAATGCGCCACCACTGAGTGAGTGTAAGCAGGATTCTCACATACCACGCACACACGCTGAGTTTTCAGCCTCGCGAGACCAAAATTATCAAACATGCAGATATTTGCCTCCACCGCCTTCGCGACACTCGCGAAACTACATTAAATCGAGTGCACACACTGTGAGATTCGTGCTGAGCATGAAACTCACGCTCCGTGCTCAGCACGAATCTCACCGTGTGTGCCCGGCTTAAGAGATGCGGCCACTCACGCACTCCACGCTGAACATGCAAACGGTCGATCATTTTTTTAAATGGCACTCATCAGAGACATCAGGCACGCGTTAGAGTTAAACAGAAGCATGCATATTCGGTTTCTGCTCGTAGACATGTTGGTACTGTTTGTTACACACGGGTATGGTGGTTACACGCGGTAACGTCCCGGTTGGTCTACTCGCATTCCGTCTTCTCCCATTGCGTCTAGTCTTAGAATAGATAATCTCAGAATGGTTAATAGTGCCAATCTACGGCAAGGACTACTAGAATTTCGTCTACGTTCATCTACGTAGTCTGTTTTTGGTTTACTCTTTCCCAAACGTGTATTAGGGTCTACTTTGTAGACCAACCGGGCATAAACCGGTTGCACGTTTTTAATAGTTGAAAGGGTCGAAATCAAGGGTCAGAGAATCTATATAGATCCGAGTCGATTTGTCTGAATAAAAATTTTTGTGTGGCTTCAAGTCCATGCATTGATGGTACGTTCGTCTCACAGTAGATGCTAGTACGAATGGAGCCAATTTATAAGCATGTATATAGAAATCGGTTATTTGAGTTGCATTATACCCCGTCAGACTGGACGGCGACCATCCGCGACCGTACGGCGACCAGAAAATATTACAAGGTTTCGCGACAGAACGTGAAAGCCACAACACAGAGAAAAATGGTCCCAACAAAAAATACTTGCCGCTTAAGCAGCGCAGTAAAGGACGCCACCCCGTCTGATACCCCGTCACACGGGTGGCATCCTTACTGCGGCTGCTAGCGGCGACGGAGAATGGGCCCAGAGGCGCGCCAAGGTCGCATAGCGCGTATAAGCGTGGTGGAAACGCCAGACAATCGTGGTCTGAGTCGCCATGGTCGGCATATCGCCGGATCACGGCGTTTGTTTGAGCATGTTCAAAACAAACGCCAAGGTTTGGGCGATCTGACCATGGAACGCGGATGTGAGAATCGTTGGGGTCGCGAAGGTGGGGAGACAAGCGTCGTAACATCTCCAGTAAACGTATAGTACACGTTTGCAGTACGACGCGTGGCAAAGATCGCTGCGAAAATGAGTAACATTT